GAGGCTGCAATGCTTGGTAAGAAATGTATGCATTATCCTGCCCATGCAATTGTAACCCCTCTGTACAGTATGTTCACAAATAAAATAAAATAAATACTATCATTAAAGCTACAGGTTCCAGTACCCACTGCATCTGGGGATCTTTCATCTTCAACAATCTATAGGATATTATTCATGAGGACATCCCTTCTTCAAATTCACTTCACATCCTTGCACCAGAGATTTCTTGTGTAGAAATGTAGAAGCTCTTCTGAATAGTCACTTTGTTTTGAAAATCAAGTAGTTAGAAGGGATGGGACTGACAAATGGTAGTGACTGAAATGGAAAAGGAATAAGTCTTCTCATTGCTTCATAGTTTATGTAAGGACAGAATCTGATCCAAGATCTCTTGAATTTTTTCCAGGAAACAGTCATTCCACAATCATCTGGGAACAATCTCCCTCATTTTTCTCTTCCCCATATGAATTTTTTTTCCCACTTATTAGTGGGAATCTTACCTGTCATTTAAAATAGATTCAATAGGGTGTTTCATGAAATATGTTACTGTTCCTAATTCTAGCTGCTCCTCAATCAAGTATATATTGCCTTCTTCTTTGAATCCCTTTAGTACGTTCTTCTCATTCACTAGCCTGCAAAGTAAGAGAGTATTACAGATATTTTTGTCAAGATTCTTCAATGAGGAGTAAGTATCTCATGAGGTCAAAGTAGGACTTAAAAGCTGCCCTCCATATCTGTTTCATTTTTCCCTCTGCCCTCCAGAGAGATTTTGTCTGCATTGCCAGTGGTACATGACCAGAAATGTGCACACCAATGCTTATGAATCCTTAATGGACAGAATTCACAGGCCAATTGGGACCTTTGAATTGGGACCTTACCTATTGGTAAGCTTATATCACAGGTCCCTAGGCCTCTCAACAAATCAGCAATGGCCAGACCAGGGCTGTCGTTGTGTCTGCCCAGCAATGAGAGGGTGGGGAAAGCAGGACTGGGTATCCATGTAGGAGATGGATGAGCTGGAGAAGCTCTGAATAACTCTTTCATTAATCACCTGTGTCTTGTATCATCTCTTGTGAGAAATCACAAGCTTTTGGGGAACAGCTTGCTCATCCTTGTAAATCCCCAGATACTGGCACTGTGTGTTGCATAAAGAAAATGCTAAACTTGTATTGGCACTGTTTTACAATCCCTGTTGGAACTGAGAAATTCCCAAGGATTTCTAAATACAAAATTGGGAAATCCAAGAGTAATCTTAATGGACCTTGAATGTAGGCTTGCTCATATGCTTTCCTCTCAAAAGGAAAAGCCTCTTTTGAGAGAAAAATTAAAGGAAAATATGCTTCTAACACAATTCCCTACTATCTTATGCTGAACCTTGAAATCACAATCACATTTTCTAGAGTATTCTGAGAAGACATCATATATTGTATTATTAATGTATATCTACATATGTGTATATATGATACATGTGTGTACACATATGTGTGTGTGTGAGAGAGAAAAAAAGTGAGAGAGAGAGAGAGAGGGAGGGAGAGTCCCACAGACATGGGCTTGGCATAAAATATGCATCAGGCTTATTAACTATATTGATTCATCTTTAACTTAAAGTAGATTCTGTTGGTTTTATCCACAAAATACTAGTATAATATTACTACAACTGTATGCTACATTGTAATTGACTGAAGCTTCTTATTTTTCCTCAGTTGAATTCTGCAACTGTCTCCTAATTTATCTCCCTGCCCTATAGTCTAGTTACTGCAGATGGCTCTGAATGTAGCGCTGCTTGCTCAAAATCTTCCTCTTGCTTCCAAAATACTTGGGTCTTAAACCTGGCAGGCAAATCCCTCTCAAATCTAGAGTCTGGGTATCAGCTTCTTTACCCATGGACTTCTTTCCACTCTTTTTTAAAAATTATTTTTATTGTAAATGTGATGTACAGAGGGGTTACAGTTATGTAGGTCAGGCAATGAATACATTTCCTTTTGAACAGTGTCACCTCTTCCCTCATTTTTCTTCCAGGTTTTTCCCTCCTGCTCCCCCTCCCCCAACAAGTTATATAGTTAATTTTCCACACGGTATCTAGTGAATATCACTGCTGAATTAGTTCACTCTTTGTCTCATTATTTCTGTGCTTCCTTTTACCCTCCTCCAAACAGATAAATTTACATATAAGACAAAAAGTACACAAATCAAAACAGCAACAGAAGGGGCAAAACAAAACAAAAGAAACACAGAAAGTAAAATTAAAAAACTCATTTCCATTTCTTGGAGTTCATTTCAATAAGCATCATTTTACATGACCATATGCACAGAGCTATTGAGCCTTTGTGATCCTCTCCTAAGAGTATCCTCCTGTGGTTTCACCATGCGAATGTTTGAGCACATCTAGTGTCTCTTGTCACAGGGTCTTGATAATGACCATTTTCTTCCCAGAATCCTCTTTTCCAGATACTCCTATGGCTTACCCCTTCATATCATTCCCAGGTTTCCTAAAGTGTCTATTCAAACTTGTCAGATGCTCCCTTCCCCCATTATTCTGCATAATATGTGGCCTTTCTCATTCTAGCCCCACCCTCCACCATTCGCCATTCTTTTATCTGATTTCTCCCACGACTTTACACCACCTGCATATCCCCTCCTAGATAGCAAGGTGTTGTTGACAGTGAGTGGTGATACAAGTAGATCAAATCATTTTATTTAGTACCTCACCTTTGGCTTATAAGGCATTCATTCTTCCCATTAGAGTGGATGGTTTTGTTTTCTTGAGCCCAAGAAACCAACCCCACTGAGCACATGGAACATGAGCTATCGTGTATTGCTTGGCTCTCATACATGAATCATGTATGATCTTCAGTGTCTCACTAGGTACTCAGGAAACAGCCAGACGTGGTGACTTACACCTATATCCTAGCTATTCAGGAGGCTGAGATCTGAGGTTCAAGATTCAAAGCCAGCTTGGGCAAGAAAATCAGTGAGACTCTTATCTCCAAGTAACTACCATAAAAACTGGAAATGGAGTTGTGGTTCAAGTGGAAGAACACTAGCCTTGAGCAAAAAACTCAGGGATAATGCCAAGGGCTTGAATTCAAGTCTCAAGACTGTGTGCTGGCGCACACGCACACACACACACACACACACACACACACACACACACACACACACACACCATAGGGAAGTAATCATCTTCTGTATGGTTTTCATCAATTTTTTCATTATTCATCTCCTTTTCATTAAGCATTTAATTACAAACATTGATAACTAAATATAGGGTTACTACATACAGAATAACTGTGTCTATTTTCAATGTAATTGGTTCTGTTTTAGCATAAATGGGTAATCATGCTAAAATACTCATTTCAATATAAAGGAAAAAAACTCCTGTTGGAGTTTATGTTAGGTATTTTTTCAACCTATGATGATACACACTCCAGGAGCCTTAATGGATATATGACTACTCTATATTACTTATTCATTTATGTATTTCATGTGTATTCCACTAGAGTGCTAGCTCTGTGAGAAGGGTGACATTGTTCTATTTCATTTCAGAGGGCTGAGGATGTAGCCTGGTGGTAGAGCATTTGACTAGCTTGTGCAAGAGCGTGCTATTTCCACCAACAGGCAGTGGTAGAAGATGGGGAGGAAAAAAATAACAGTACTTGACACATATAGACATTCAATAAACAGGAACAAAATTGAGAATTTACTAGAGATGTTGCTCTTGGTAGAGTGCTTGCCAAGAATGCACAAGGTCCTGCACTCATAATCCCCAGTAGCAACCAAAAGTCAAATTACGTTGTCAGTGAGAAAATATTTTGTTGTGTTTTAGAAAAACAGAAGCATGTATAGTTGATGACAATGATTATATTAAATGTACAAAAACATGGATGGGGAAATCTAAAAATAATAATAGCTATTAGGAAATTGTGATTATATGGGTGATTTTCTGCTAAAATATTCAGGTTTTTAAAAAATGTTACATTGTTTTATTTAAGTAAAATATAAAGTGTGTTGAAGTCTAAACCTGGATTCCAGTATTCATTGCTGAGGGATCGCAGGTAAATCTGAATCTTTATGCTTCTGTGGTAAATAGAAGGTCATAGGAGTTTCCAGATCTAAAATTCTGCCAACTTTGATCCCTCTCACTCCTTCCCTCTGAAGTTTCTATTCTTCACTGTGGGCCCAAAGTTAGAAACATTCTTAGAATGACAATAAGCCAATTACAAATAGGTGGGACTGCTTTCATTACTAATGGTCTTTATGATGAGTATATTCTTTAAAGCAATAGATTGTCTTGTTATTTGAGTCTGGCTGGTGGGAGGAAAAAATACCACTGTGGCATTAAGCACTTGCTCTTCTGGTTTGGGTGGGGTGATGGGCAGGCTGTAGGCTGGCACTAACTTCTCTTTGCCTTCCTAATGTATGACAGGGGAAACTAGCTTCTGTTGCTCATTTTGTGGAAGACTCTACAGGGTTGGAAGGCCAGTCTCATAAAACTTGTATGTGACAGGCTAAGTCGTTCATTTTCAGTAGAACCATTTCATGTTCATATGTGTCATCGCTCTGTGCTTTATAAGATGAATGACATAGGAAGGGAAATACTTTTTTAAATTCCTACCAGTCAGCAAATGATTATGTGTGTGTGTGTGTGTGTGTGTGTGTGTGTGTGTGTGTGTGTGTTGTGGCATTAGCTTCTTAGTTTCAAAATCTCTAATCCTAAGAAACAATTCATTTAGTTCATCTCCACATCAACTGTAACACACCCAATCCAGCTTTCATGATAGAGTAAAGGTAGCACACATGTGCACCAATCTATCATCCTTTTCTCAAAAGTCTTTCAAAGGAATGCACAAGTGTTGAGCTGTCTAGGATGATAGATGAAGTGGGTCAACATACTTGCATAAAATCCGAAAATAACCCAGCTTTTGAGCACAAGATGAGTTTCTTAGGACAATGTTGGGTGCCTGTGATTAGAAGAATCAATTTTAGGATTAAATAAGCTAACACATGATGAGTGTTGAAGCAACTCTTATAGCAAGTGATTGTTTTGTTTTATTAAGTAGTTGTATAAAGGAGTTATCATTCAACAAATCAGCTTATAAAGTACCAGTTTCAAGTACCAGTTTCTGGTATTCATTTCTTGGCCTGTGAGTTAAGTTTTTCTAAGTAATTACACTGTTTAAATTCTCCCTGAAAATACTATACTTAAGTTAATACATTTGTGTACACCTGTGCACAGTCTTCTATGCATTTATCTGTATATTTATAAATTAGTTGTAACTTTCATATAAGAGAGAAACATGTACCTTTTCTCTCTCTGGGCCTGACTTACATCATTTATTTTTTTTGCAAATAATATAAAATCATTCTTCCTAATGGATGAGTCAAATTCCATTTTGTATATACACCACATTTTCTGGATCCATTCATCCATCTGGGCTGTTTTCATACCCTGGCTATGGTAAATAATGCAGCAATGAATATGGTTATGCAGGTGGCTTTAGTATCCTGATTTGTAATCTTTGGAACAAAACTTTCCTTGCTTTGTAAATTATTACTATTATAGCCAAATACATTTGTGGTTCTCTTCTCTTCTAAAAGGAGAGAGTTGTTCAGGAGAGAGATTCTCATCCACTCCAATCATTATAGAAAAATTATAAAATTTATTATAAATTATTATATATAATATATTAAATAATATATTCAATTTTATTATAAATATTAGTATAAATATATCCTTAGTTTAACCAAAGGGATATTACCTGATATCATGTATAGAGGAATATATTTGTAAATGACATTATCAATACACATGTAATGAATACCTGTTATATATAAGATCTGAACTAGGGACTGAGAGAAAAAGAAACATATCACAAACACTATT